CGCGAGGCCAGCCCCGCCGCAGGACAGCCTCCTCGCGGCCACACGACTCTTCTCTTCCTGTCCCAAAGGACCTGGGGGCCGAAACTGGGTTCTGGGTCTTTCAGGTTGTGCCTTTTTCAGATGCCAAAGGAAAAACTACGGCATGCTAGACACGCACGTGAGGTGCATCGCCGAGGCCTTAGCGCTGAAATCCAACACTTCCTCCTCCCCCGCAGAAAGGCAACGGGATCCTACCTGGATCCCAGCAGGGGAAGGGGGCGCCTAAGCCTCAGCATTGCATTTATTCATATGGCGCTGTGGGGGTTAGTAAGAAGAGGCCCCCTCTCACGGCCAAGCCTGTCACTTGTGACCCTCCCTCCTCTGAGCCTGGAGGCGGATCCTAAAGATCGCAGGCTTCCTCCTCTACTACCGTGTCCCCACCCCCAATACAGACATTGGTTTCTCTCATTTTGTATTCATTTTGATCTTCCTGTTCAAACAGTACCAGACCTATCAGTGAGGCGGCGCTGAGACATTTATGGCCATACCACAGAGTGACAGTGGAGAATTTTTCTTGGGGCCCTGTGGGAAAAACAGGAAGTGGTGGAGGCAGGATGGGCAGGGCGCTGGAGAACCTTGTGCAAAGTGGCCCCCAGGCCCATCCGTTTGTGGGATCAATGTGGTCTTCAGATACAGCACAGCGTTAGAGGGCGCCCCACTGCTCAGTAGCCACAAAACTCCCAACTCTTTGACTCTCTTTTAATGCCACGGGTGGATCTCCTTGCCCAGCTCCCAGGAATGTTTGCCCTTCTCAGTCTGTTCCACTTCTAGGAGGCAGCCACCAGGCCTCAGCCATCCGGCCCAGAAAACAAAATATGAGGAAAGAACAGTCATTCGTGCACATCCCAGATCTCAGAGAGCAGCGGTGGGAGCTTTTTGTCCTGCAGACGCAGTGCAAACACTTGCTCTGAGTGGACGCTGCTCAGGGTCCGGAGGCTCACCAGTTTCATTAGCATCCGTGGGAACATCAGTCGGTCCTGGGGAAAGGAGAGAGACAAGAACAGCTTTTGCCTGTCTGCAGGGAAGCAGGGCAAGGGTAGGGGAGTTGTGGGAGAGGTGAGTTGTCTGCACACCATGCAGTCAGAGAGAAATTCTTGAAGGGAAAGTAGGTGTATCAGGGAATGGGCCTGTGTGTGGGAAGGAGGAAAAGGGGCACCATGGGGAGACTCACATGGGGATGGTGGATGGAGACGTAGGCATGCAGGGCTTCCACATATGTGTGCTGCAGCCTCTCTACCTGGAGCTGGTCCTGCACATTGGGCCGGTCTATAGGTCACCAAGAGAGTTGAGAAGCAGGTCTGGCCAGGGTCCAGTTCCATACCCCAAGTTGCAACCAAAATATAGAGACATGCTCCAGCCAAGCTCTCTCATCCCTAAATAACAGAGCAAAAGCCTCCACCCTCCCAAGCCACCG